TATTATAGCATTGGAAAAAGTGCAGAAAAGGGCAACTAGAATGATAAAAGGGTTGGAACACCTATGAAGAGCCACAGGCAAAGAGCCCTTTAGCTCGCCCTTCGGCTCGCGCCCGAAGTGTTTCCTTAAATAGAGGCCTCCCCCAGCAGAGGTCAGGCAGCAGCTATTCAAATTCAAATTCACCCAGGCACTCAATCACAGGCAAAACAATGCCCCTTCCACTTCCTCTCAATTACAGGCAATCCCAGTCAAACAATGCCCGTTCCTCTCCCACACTCAATCAGCCAGGACTCTGCAAGAACTCTAAGTGCTTCCACACACTGCTAAACACAGTTTTCCCACACAATATCCTTAGCTGAATTCTCTCAGCTGAAAGCAAGTAAAAGAAACCCACTCACCTCTCTCACAGCTCTCTCTCCTGCTCCTGCTCAGAGCTCAGCTTCTCATACAGGATCTTCTTATTTATAACATGATTATTTATCAGTTTCTACACATTCATCCCATTAACTCATGTTATCTAAGTCGCCTCCTAGACAGTCTTTACCCAGCAATAACTCAGCTGTTGGGGGGGGGGGCGAACAAGTCCCCTGCACCCATCCTCCCTACGAGAGGTCTGGGTGAAGCCCAATTCAATGCCAAGGCATGGGGGGGGGTCTCCAAAAGAGACAAGAAGAGTAGGGTGGCTTGGTGGTGATCCGAGACTCGCCCAAAGCGTCACGCCATTTTCCCAGAAGTCGGTTTTCCCTCTTAAGAATTCTTGATGTAGAGACCTGTTTCGCCTGCAGTTTTTTCAGTATCTTTTGGGGTGAATATGATGGATTTTATCTGGCATTGTGCCATCTAGTGTATATTTTGTATATTGATTTTCTCATGTTTATGGATGTAGCTTTGAAACGTGGTGTTAGGCCACATTAGGCCATAATTTAGGCCATATATCATCTTCTGAATCTTTTTTCCTGATTTTTTTTTTGGTCATAATTTTGCAATAGATGGAACCAAGATTTTTTTACCAAACATTTGGCAATCTCAAGGTCATTCCTCTTGTTTTGTAAGGGCTCCCCTGTTTCAACCCAGGGATTTCTGTGCTTTACTGACTTCCCTATTTCTTTGCTGGCAACTTAACTATTTTGCAGTTTTGTATATCTTCACATGCAAGGTTGTAGCCTCCGAAATCTCACTGCCATGCCGCTTTTCCCTTGGACTGGAGCCTCAAGTACTCTCTTCCCCTTAGGACTTCTCTGGGCCTGTAATCAAGGCTCCCTCTAAGCTGTGGAGTCCTGTGAGCAAAAATTCTGCTTTGTGAGCTCCTGGCATTAAAGTTGTGAGCGGGCGATTTGGCTCCTGCATAAATTAGTTTGCTCTGGAGCCCCTCCTTCCTGTGCCAAGAGAAAAAATGCTTGAGCTGGAGGGCTGAAAAACTGTGAGCTAGCTCACACTAACTCATCTTAGAGGGAACACCGCCTGTAATAAGGGAGGATTTCAGAGAAGCCCCTGTCTCACTGTCCGATCATCTCCCCCTAGAGGAGGCTCTTCCACCTTCCCCTTCCTCTTGACTTGGACCTGGAGCTTTTGCTTAATTCCTGAATTCAGATTTAGAATTTATAAAAACAGAGGCTTGGATACAAGGGAGGATTTCAGGGTGGTGGTGGAATTTTTGCTGATTCCCTCCCCCCCTGCTGGAGACTTCTGACTCCCCTCTCATTATTCCTGGGAATCCCTAGCAGCAGTATTGGGAGGTTGGGGACATTTTGGACTGCAGTGGGGAAGAGGCAAGAAACTCATGCTCCACAAATAGAAATTCCTTCTATCCAGAGATTTTTGGTGGAGCCAAGCCACAGTGCACTGGAGTATGTGCAGAGTACAGCTGCCAGTATCATCTGTGGATAGCCCACAGTCATTTTGGATTCTGGCAAGAGTTGGGTTCGGGCACCTAGCTTGAATCCTCTGTGCATCTGATAAAGTTAATTGAAGTTGTACTTAGGTTCTGGGGGAGGGGGTTGATTTGAGAATAGAATTAACTCCTGTTTTAAATACAAGCCATCTTTGACTTGGAAAAACTGTGCTGAACTATTGTTGCAGTGAAGTTGTTGTGTGCTTGAAAGTCAGCCGTGTGCTTCGGTGCTGTCAGCAGGCACCGGGTGCGAAGAGTGCCTCTGGCCTCGCACATTAGAAGCTTGTGAACCGCGACAGATCAAACCAGGGTTGGTTTTTCATGCTCTGATTCACCCTCTTCTCTGTTTCCCTTGACTTTCCACTTTTGGTGGTTGCATTTAACTCTCTAAAGGTCACGTAAACTTCTCTGATGAAGTCACAGCCGGTCTTCGCATTTCTGACGGAGTGGTGCTTTTTATCGATGCTGCCGAGGGGGTGAGTATGTCTCTGCTTTTGTCTGCTAACACAAGAGGAAGCAAATAGTATTGGGTGTTGTAAATAAGAAGCTGGAGACTGACCAGTTATGAAAGTGCACAGAGAGTTTATAAAGTTATAAAGGTGAATATATACAGAGATATTTACAGGCTATAGAACAGCATGCCGTACCTTAGTCTATGAGAACTAAGTCCCCACTAGCTTACCAAGCTGATAGCTATTTTGCTGAACCCCAGCCAATCTCTAACAGACAGATCAAACTGATCTATAGTAACTGCTTGCTACCTCTATCACTCAGACATATATCTCAATAAATAGCAGTCCAGAGGATTGTCTTGGAAGAAGGAAGAACATTTTTCTGTTCAAAGCAAAAACTGGGGACGGCAGCCAGGGACTTACAGTTCTGTGCCAAGAACTAGAACCTGAAACCAGAGCATGATGCTAAGTCAGACTGGTGTGTTTAAAATGGGTGGTGGTGGAATAATTTGGGCATTGGAGCTACTAAAAATGCATGGAGAACGGAGTTTTAAATGACAGGAAAGCTGCATCCTGAAGGACCTTCTGCACTAACGGAGCGTGCTCCCCTGCCAATTCATAGACTCCACAGCCAGAAGTTTTAAAGGAAAAGTGGCGCTATTGTTCAGCCCTGCATCCTTTCCCATCCCGCTGCCAAGTGGGTCTCCCTTTTCAAAAATAATTTCATTCACTTCTAATGAGTACCATGCTTGCTCTCCAAAAATGTCATTGTCAGTGGTTGCTGCCACCACGTAATTAGCCACTTCCTCGTTGCCGTGTCTGTTGCTCCCTCCTGTTAGTCAGATCTCTTCTCATTCTGTTTCTCTCTCTGGCCTGGCAGAGATGCTGCTGTGCCATCCGTCTGTACAATAGTTAAGGGGGTGGCAGTTGAGCTGATAAAAAGTCTGCATGTCAGAATGAACCACGGCTACAGTTCTTGCTTACAAAAAAATTGTTTTCTAACCCCCTCCTGCCAAAAAAGCTAAGAGCAGTATCTGTGCATGCATGAGTGCTGCAGAAAGGGGGGGGGGTTTCAAGTTGCCCCCTACGGATGCCTACTACAAGCTACGGCACATCGTGGACAAAGTCAGTGTGGCAAATGGGGTTCAATGTGGCCAAGTGCAAAGTGATGCACATTGGAGCAAAAAATCCTAAATGTACATACACGTTGATGGGGTCCAAACTGGCAGAGACTGACGAAGAGAGAGTTCTTGGAGTCCTAGTAGATAACTCACTGGAAATGTCAAGACAGTGTGCGACTGCAATAAGAAAGGCCATTGCTGTGCTGGGGATTATTAGAAAGGGAATTAAAAACAAATCAGCCAGTATCATAATGCCCCTGTATAAATCGATGGTGTGTCCTCGTTTAGAGTACTGTGTACAGTTCTGGTCACCACACTTCAAAAAGGATATTATAGCATTGGAAAAAGTGCAGAAAAGGGCAACTAGAATGATAAAAGGGTTGGAACACCTTCCCTATCAAGAAAGGTTAAAGCGCTTGGGGCTCTTTAGCTTGGAGAAACGATGACTGAGGGGTGACATGATCGAGGTTTATAAGATTATGCATGGGATAGAGCAGGTCGAGAAAGAAGTACTTTTCTCCCTTTCTCACAATACAAGAAGTCGTGGGCACTCAGTGAAATTGCTGAGTGGTCGCGTTAGAACGGATAAAAGGAAGTCCTTCTTCACCCAAAGAGTGATTTAACACATGGAATTCACTGCCACAGGAGGTGGCGGCGGCCACAAGCATGGACAGCTTCAAGAGGGAATTAGATAAGCATATGGAGCAGAGGTCCAGCCCGATCCAACACTGGCTTCTCTTATGTTCTTATGATAGGAACTCTCAGTCTGGGGCAAGGGATGCTCTGTATTCTTGGTGCTTGGGGGGGTCAATAATGGGAGGGCTACTAGTGTCCTGGCCCCACTGCTGGACCCCTGGTGACACCTGGTATTTCTGGCCACTGTATGACATAGAGTGTTGGACTGGATGGGCCATTGGTCTGATCCAGTATTGGCTTCTCTTATGTTCTTATGTCTGGGGCAAGTGATGCTCTGTCTTCTTGGTACTTGGGGTGGGGGCAACAGTGGGAGGGCTCCTAGTGTCCTGGCCCCACTGCTGGACCTCCTGATGGCACCTGGTATTTTTGGCCACTGTGTGACACAGAGTGTTGGACTAGATGGGCCACTGGCCTGATCCAACATTGGCTTCTCTTCTGTTCTTACGTTAAGTGGCACTTTGAGTTGCTGTAGCCACAAAATCCAGGAGGAAGGGAGGGTTGCAGCTGGACGCGGGGAGGAGGCACCAGTGGGGAAATAGGGTTTCTCTTCTCCTGCAGGTTGTCACAGCTCTTCCTGTTATAACATCTAGTCTAGTGGTTCTCTCTTTGTGCCCTTGTTCCTCCACGTGACAGGGTTTTTTTCCGTCAAGTCATGGGGAGTGAATGTGGCATTAAGCACACTTTTAGAAAAGGGGACACTTTTCTGCTTCTCAAGTGTTGATCCTCCTGCAGGCCATTCTCCCCAAATAGGTGAAGGATCCACGTTTGATTCCTCACGCCTTGCCTGACACCCGCTTTTGCTGCATCCTCCCCGTAGGTCATGCTCAACACGGAGCGGTTGATCAAGCATGCCGTGCAGGAGAGGCTGGCCGTGACCGTGTGTATAAACAAGATCGATCGGCTGATCCTGGAACTGAAGTTGCCCCCTACGGATGCCTACTACAAGCTACGGCATATCGTGGACGAAGTCAATGGCTTGATCAGGTATGCAAGTGCTGTTCTTAATGCATTTTTGAAGGCGTGGGAACCGAGTTTAAGAGATTTCTCCAGATTTGGAAGGGGGGGAGAAATCTACCTATTATTGGGGGAGACGCACAGCTTGTTTTATTTATTTATTTGGATTTATATCCCGCCATCCCTGCAAGCGGGCTCAGGGCTGGTTCCAACAATACAAAATACAATAAAGTTAAAACCACTTAAAGGTAAAGGTTCCCTTGCTCGAAAGCCAGTCGAATCCGACTCTAGGGTTGCGGGGCTCATCTCCGTTTCAAAGCCGAAGAGCCAGCGCTGTCCGAAGACGTTTCCGCGGTCATGTGGCCAGCATGACTAAACACCAAGGCGCACGGAAAGCTGTTACCTTCCCACCGAACTTTGGCACCTGGTATTTTTGGCCACTGTGGCTTTGGCTTTGAAACGGAGATGAGCACCGCAACCCTAGAGTCGGACTCGACTCGCTTTCGAGTAAGGGAACCTTTACCTTATTTCTCCGTCACTTTTGTAACAGTTAAACTTTTTTCTTTGCATCTATGCTTGAGTAAAAGATGGGTTAGAATTAAACTTGGGTTGATACTGAACCACTGGACTCAAACTTTGTTCTGCTGCTTCAGACCAACACGGCTACCCACTTAAGGCGCATGGAACGCTGTTCCCTTCCCACTGAAGTGGTACCTATTTATCTCCTTGCAATATCTTGATTTCGAACTGCTAGGTTGGCAGGAGCTGGAACTAGAGACGGGAGCTCACTCTGTCATGCGGCACACTCGGGTCTCGAACTGCTGAACTACCAACCTTCCACAGCCTGCAGTTCAGCGTCTTAACCACTTGAGCCACCGCAGCTGCTGAAACCACTTAAAACAACAGTGTAAAATAACACAAGTCCTGAGTACCGTGTAGACTCTGGGTGATACCAGATATCTTAACGGTTAAGGGGGACATCCACTGCTTCAACCAAACACCCAGTGAAATCGCTTTGTCTTGCAAGTCCTGCAGAATGTAATAAATCCTGCAAGGCCCTGATCGTCCACGGGAGCTCATTCCACCAGATGGGTGCCAGGGCTACAAAGGTTGAGGCAAGTCGGACGTCCCTGCGGCTGGGGACTACCAAAAGATGTTGATTAGTAGACCATAATGCTCCTAGATCTGTATGTATGGGTTGAAACCACTCATGTTGAATGTAGATAAACGTCTGATGAAAAACAGCCAATTACCTAAGTAGATGTGGAAATAAAATTATGAAGATAATAATCCCATCTATGAATCTTTGTACCAGGTCTGTTTCAGGAAAACATAAAATGCTTCCCCAAAAGACCAAATTCTTGATCTCGTGGTAGCTTCAAGGTGTTAGAGACAGGGCATAAAAAGAGGTTCGTCATGACTAAGCTTTCACTTGACATTTAGCGTGCCTGTGTTACACACACACACACACACACACACACACACACACACTCGCAGAGAAACTGTCACGTTCGATCCAAGGCTTTTCAAAGCCAAACTCCTTCCTCCTCAAGTGAAGCAAAAACCAGTGGCCAGATTGCCACATTGGTATCCTTTTTATAGTTCACGATAAGACAAGAAAGGACAACATAAGGTATAAATGAGGAATTTCACATTACCCTTTTTAACCCGTTTTGAAGCCGTTTTTGATCCGTCGTGGAGTAAACTGGTATAGGGCTGCCATTTCACGCATGGCTTCCCCCTTCCGGTAAAGAGCTGGATCTTAAGCGGTTTGCCATTTCAGACTGCACCGCTTTTCCCCGCCGTCTTTCACCCACGCAGGCGATCTCTGGCTTTTTCTTTTTTTTTTTTTTTGGGAACGTTCACTTTAGAGCGCTATAGTGCTATAACACAACAGTCCAAGCATTCAAGTTGGGTTGATATAATGCTGTTGTGTTATACCGTTATAGCGCTATAACAATATAAAGCGAACTTTAAAAAAAAAAAGCCGGAGATCCCCCCCGCGGGCGAAAAACGGTGGGAAAAAGCGCATCGGAACCGGGAGAGGAAACTGAAGACTACTTGGAAGCGGTTGACAGGTAAAATGCTTCAGCCCCATTTCCTAAACGGGACAGAAGCGTTTGTGTGTGAAATGACAAATATATTCTGGTAGGGAACCAGTTCTAAAACGGTTCTGTCTGAAATGACAGACCAGAAACCGTTTGGGAACCGTTCCTCTTCCGGATTATATCGTGTGTCTGAAATTCCTCAAAGTCTTGTGTAAGCAGCAGTGGTTGTGACTGATGCAAGTCATTAATATTAATCTGAAAAGTAATTATTAAAGATCGTTACACCCTGTCCAGTTTTTTTTTAAAGGAAGTATTTCTCCGTTACTTTTTGTAACGGTTAAACTTTTTTTTTTTTTGCATCTATGCTTGAGTAAAAGATGGGTTAGAATTAAACTTGAGCTGATACTGAACCACTGGACTCAAACTTTGTTCTGCTGCTTCAGACCAACACGGCTACCCACTTGAGTTGATACCGTTTGTCTTTAAATCAGTTAATCGCATGTAAGGTAACTGGCATCTGATCGCAACTGAAATATCAGTTGTTTTGATCTATTAAAAGTATGAGAGAATTTACGATTCAATAAGAAGAAATAAAGGAGCTGCAGTGGCTCAAGTGGTTAAGACGCTGAACTGCAGGCTGTGGAAGGTCGGTAGTTCAGCAGTTCGAGACCCGAGTGCCCCACATGACGGAGTGAGCTCCCGTCTCTAGTTCCAGCTCCTGCCAACCTAGCAGTTCGAAAGCAAGAAATTGCAAGTAGATAAATAGGTGCCACTTCGATGGGAAGGTAACAGCGTTCCGTGCACCTTGGTGTTTAGTCATGCCGGCCACATGACCACGGAAACGTCTTCGGACAGCGCTGGCTCTTCGGCTTTGAAACGGAGATGAGCACCGCAACCCGAGAGTCGGATTCGACTGGCTTTCGAGCAAGGGATATCTATATAAACTCAGGGCACAGCAACAACATACAATGAATACAAAAAGATTGCTGCGAAAGTTCACTGAAATATACAAAAGATGTTCAGTAGAAAATTCAACTTTTCATGATGTTATTTAATTCTTGTTTCCAACAGGTGCCAACAAGATGCACAGCACAGGAACAGGACGAACACTTCTGCTCGGGGTTATGCGACCCCCGAGCAGAAGTGTTCGTCCTGTTCCTGTGCATCATGAAAAGTTGAATTTTCTACTGAACATCTTTTGTATATTTCAGTGAACTTT